AGGATAATTAAACAATAAACCATAAACATGCCACCTCTTAATTTTCCATGGTAAAGGAAGCATAAAAATCATCATAAAATAAAATCCAGATATAATCCAATCCTTGCTTTAAAGCAATGATTTCAACTCTTCTCTATAGAATTTTTTACCAGATTGGCTGGAGTTCAATATCCTTTTACTTTCTTGCTCCCTTGCCCACTCCTTAGACAAGTGCCAAAAAGCAGGCTACACTAAATCAGAAGCAAAGGGCCTAGATATTTTATAAATTCAATATCCATCTCCCCAAAAGTCTAGAAAGGTGGCTGTCTATGAAAAGTGAAATGCTTAAGTTAAGGGGCATTTTGATCAGACTGCCAGTCTGCTTATGATTTGCAATAATCGAGCAAGGAGCCGGCATACAGTTCCCCCCTTTTCTACACACTTACTCTGGCCCTTCCCCCAAAGGAGTTTATGGGAAGTCCTATTGATGAGTCTTACGGGATCCACAAAAAGTAAATACAGCCTCTTAGAGTTTTGGCTGTACAACGTCCTGGCTGAAATGATATAGGGGCCCTGCATGTGGACAGAAACAGCAGGAAAAATGAGGTGATCTGACATGAACTTGAAATTTCCTAAGACCTCACAAAAGTAAAAGTTGGATAGTTTCTACAAATTTCACATGCAGCTTGTGTCCCTCATCAGTTTTATCTTCCATAACCCGCACATACATGATTGATAACCCCCTGTTTTAATGGCCTTGGCAGCCTTACAAAAAATGGATTGTTCTTGAATGGTTTCTCGAATATATTAGTCACAAACATGCTTTCTTTTAACAACAAACATGCCTGTCTTCTTGTTTCATGTCCTTTGCAGAACAAACGTAGAGCATGCATAATGCCAGGAAAAAAAAATCAAGCTTCCCATGCATGCTCCAGTTTTGTAATGACTTATGTCCTACATCCCAGGGCGGAGATGCAGAGCAGCGTTTTGTTCCAAGTTTATGCTAGATTTTTTTTAAATGTTTGTTTTTTGACACTGCCTGCTAGTCTACGGTCATAAGAGCTGGCGACATGTAATTATATATTTATAAGAAAAAAAGAGAAAGAAAAGTGAGAGAGGGGGAGTATTTGAAAAAAGGTATTTTTCAATAAGTAAGCATTGCATAGCCTGAGGGATCCTTTGATACATTAGATACATATCTAGGAAAGCAAAAGTCTGCTTTCTTCATCACTGAAATGACCAGAAAAAGAGGCAAAGAACTTTGTGAGAAACTAAGTGGCATTATTCTGTAAGCTAATAGAAGCTGTTCCTCTGTGATCCTACAGAAAGACAGTGATTATGAAGAGCCCTTCTATGGATGAAACCGCACCATTCCTCTCTATCTGATAAGCTTTCATGGCAACATGACTTCTCATAGACAAGAAGGAAAGCTAAACTTCTTAGAGATTCTTTTTTCTGCTGGAAGTTTAACTATAACCCATCCTTGCGGAGCCTATCTACTTCTCATCCCCACAGAAATGCTATCCCATATCAAGAAATGCTTATATTTTCAGATAACAAAGGTAAAGGAATATCAGACCTTAAAATCCCCTTAGGAATTTATTGCACATCTGGTATGTGGCAGTGAAGTAGCTAATCTCATTGGCTAAGGACCAATAAAAAGAACATTTATAAATGACTACCTATCAAAATGCATATTTGTCTCTCTCTCTCTACCTCAAGGTTATTTCGAAAGTCTTTAATAACGTCCGTGCTATCATTGCCATAGCTGCGCCTTTTTGGTTTCTAGCTATTCTGTAGTATCTTGTGAAGTAAATAAAGGTGCCAGTAAAACACCAAGTCGTTCAAGTATTTGATCTGTTAGTTTATATATATCATTTCTTATTCAGAAGGCAAGTAGGATACTCCTTCCATCAGCTATAAATTTTAAATTGTGGGGAAAAAACCCAAACTCCTGGAGAGTCAAGTCCTCACAAACTCTAAGAGTAATTCTTTTTTTTTCCTAAACAAGCTCACCCATAAAGATGGTTTTTTCCCATATCTACTGCTCTCTTACTGTGAGCCACCAAACAACTATCCTTCCATTATTAAGTTTTGATTCTAAAGTGATGTATTCTCTCCCTGTCCTCCTAAATACGAAAAGTTAACATTTTCGTATTAATCCAAACATTAATTTGGAATTACGCCACATAGTCTGGCCTACCTTCTAGGAGCCTCTCGTTGAGTCTTCCAGAGATTGTCCCTCTGCCACACCAATAAGTCACGACACAAGGTATACCAGACTCCCAAGAGCTTTCACAAGCTCGTTAGATACAGCACAACCAGTTAGAGACCATCAAGTCAACGGTTCACTATCTTGTTCATAAAAATAAGCTTAGGTTATTATATATTTAACCACTGCTAAATTTCTGGGAATGTGGAAGGGAAGTAAGGAAGGATGATTTCCACTTTAAAGATTGCAGGAAGAAAAGAAGAAGGGGTCGGGGAGAACAATAGTCAAGAAATAGAAACTTGTATACTACATTGAAGAACTTTTATAAAATCAAAGGATGTTTTGGAACATTCTTAAAGAATTAGAGTAAAAGCTGTCAGACAAAGTTCTGTACAGCTATTCTTCAATGTTTTTGCAAGGATTACTAATGAATTGCTGGGTTAGAAACTGCCCCTGGGAACTTGTGTGCTTAGTCATGTGCAGAGAAGAAATCACTTCAGAATGACCGTTTCATGTGATTACTCCAATTTTCCTAGCTGAATCCCTCCCCATTCTAGAATCAGGATTACTCTTTAAATCAGCCTGAATTTCCTGACCACACCCATAATTGTTACTTGAGCTCTAAAAAGTTAACAAAGGAGTTTGAGAAGAGAAAATAATGCACTGATAATTGTAATAGATGCTTTCCTTTAAAACAACTTTATATCGTGCTTGCAATATAAGCCATTTTCAAAAACAAAGTATACCAGAGTCTGAACTATGGCATGGTTGGTGGCATTCATATGGGCGTTAAGTGGAAAAGAACATTCTCCATCACAATAAAATGCAGCATATCCTTCTGGTGCTATAATCCAGTCCTAAAATGCACACAAAACAAAAAAAATCATCAAAAAAAATAATTCTTAAAGAATATTCAAATACATTTCATCTGAAAACGTTTACATTTTTGGTCTAACAATTATTCTAATAGGGATAGCCACCCCCACACCCTTTAATTTAATTTCAAGTTGAAGTTTACAACAAAAGTATAAATATTTTCACAAGATATTGTCCTCTCTGATTTCTCCCAAGAGGTTACTATGTAAGATATTCATAGTACATATTAATCATGTATGCATGAATAAAACCATAATCATGAAATAGCATTTGAAATAATGTTTAAACAGGAAATGATGAACTCTGGAAAGTTCAAGTGAACCAGAAAGGAAAAGGAGAATAAACTTAATTGAGATAATTCTCATTACTTCTTAATAACTCATTCCTGGTTTTAGAAGTCTGACAACCTCCGAAAGCCTTCATATTTGTTCCATGTGCTGTTTTTCTTTCCATTCATGCATTAACTTTATAGTCTATTTGGAAGAAATGAATTGGAGCAAATGCCTAAAAACTGTACATGAAAAATTTTAGGAAGCTAAAAAATTGATACATGGAATTGTTGCCTTGATTTTTTCCCCCCAGAGAAATAAAACTTGGTACAAATCTAAGAAATTATTG